AAATATTTCTCTTAGTGACTCTAAGAAAACCCAATGGTTTCAGTGTCCTTTATGCGTTGATGTAAAATCTGTTAATAAAGCAACAATAGGTAATGATTTAGTGCTAGACAATTTTGTTAATACAGCCATCTCAAATGTCCGAGTACTCAAGAGAGTGGCAAAAGACTCGCGTGTTCCATTGGCGGAAAGTCTGCCGGACAAAATAAATGACATCGCTTACAATGTAGAAGATGTTACAAAATGGCTAACTTTTTTAACGTCGTTCTTGTTTTTTTTGGAGCAACCGAAAAGAAGTGGACGCAAACAGACCACAAGCATGAGCTCTTTGATAAATAAAAAAAATTCGAGCAAATGACGTGTCACTTCCAAAACCCCATCTTCAAGTTTCAAGCCCGCCTCAGGGTGACCTCGAGCAGAGAATAAAGCTAATAAATAGTAAGCTCGATGAAGGAAATGTAAAGGGAGGAATAAGGCTTGCTGCTTCGGATGACAAAATTGCTCCTTTTTCAACTGGTAATTATCAAAAATTGTTGTCTAAGCACTCTCAGCGAGCCAAATTTGCAGCTCCAAATTCAGAAATTTTGGATTGTTTTTTCGCAACCAATTTCGATCTATACAAAGCGATAATGTCCTTTCCGAATGGATCAGCAGCAGGTCCTGATAAAATAGTTCCTCAAACTTTTAAAGATCTTGTTAGTAAGTCAAATGGCAGTGCAGGACTTAATTTTTTGAAATCGCTTTCTAAGCTGATAATTCTCATTGGAGATGGCAAAATACCCGAACCCCTAAGACCTTTCTTTTTTGGCGCAAAGCTTATCGCCCTAATAAAGATAGACGGAGGCTTGAGACCGATTGCCATAGGCAACACGCTGAGGCGTATCGCGTCTAAATGTGCTGGAAGCAAGGTCCTCTACAAGCGACAAAATTTTTTCGGAAACGTACAGGTAGGATGCGGTACCAAACGAGGAGCAGAAATAGCTGCACACTCGTTTCGAAACCTAAATGAACGCGACCACAATCCGAAATGCACTGTTCTTTTAAAACAAGATTTGAAGAATGCCTTTAACTCTCTAAATAGAGAAACAATGCTGAATCATATTTATTCAAATCGTCCCGAATTGTATAATTCCACCCATTGCGCGTATGTTAAACCTAGTTACCGTTTTTACGGAAGCTCTGTCATAATGTCAGGAGACGGAACTCAGCAAGGTGATCCTGAAGCCCCACCCCTTTTTGCGGAAACAATTCATGCACTAGTCAAATAGTTGGAGTCGAAAATTAACATTTGGTATTCAGATGACGGCAATCAAGCCGACGACTATAAAGTAGTACTCTGGGACCTTAAAAACATTCTGAAATCGGAACAAATTTACGGCCTGAGCTTGAACACTGAGAAGTGCGAACTTTGTTTTTTGGGACCGACTATTAGTACACAGTATCATTCAATTTTAACATAATTTCGAAAAATTTGCCCCAAAATAAAAATTAAAACAAAAGAAGAACTCCTCGTTTTAGGATCTCCAATCGGCGAACTTTGCCGAAAAGAACTGCTCGACGAAAAAATTAAGAAGATTGAAAAATATTGGATGTCATTGACAAACTAGACGCCCCTTATAAATTTTACCTCCTGAAAAATTGCTTTAGCATGCCAAAACTCCTATATTTTTTGCGTACGAGCCCTTGATTTTTGCAAAATGATTTTTTGGAATGCTACGATAGGTTTCTAAGAAATTTGTTATGCAAGGTCACTAACGTGAAAATAGATGATAACCAGTTTTTACAAGCAGTTCTCCTGGCAGCCAAAGGTGGCTTGGGCGTTTCTTCCGCTCGTCTACTCGCTCTACACGCTTTCTTAGCCTCAGCAGTAGGAACGAAAGATGCCTTGAGCGAAATCTTTGGTTTGAAGCATGTGGATGGAACCTATGATGATGCGCTTAAACGGTGGTTTGAACTTGGAAAAATTGAAATGGCTCCGGAAAATGAAATCCAAAAAAATTGGACGGAGCCATTTTTTGACAGCCAAATTGCAGACTTGATTTTACGACTCGAACCAACGGATATAAAAAGAATCAACGCGTTCCACGATAAATTTGGCTCCCAATGATTGAACGTCATCCAAAGCAAGAATTTAAGATTAAAACTGTCAAACCAACCACTCAGAATTGCGATAGGACTTCGATTAGGCTCAAAAATTTGCGAACGGCATAAATTCATGTGCGGAAAAGACGTTACCGAGGATGGTTGGCATGGTCTTTCATGCCTCAAAAGTGCAGGGAGATTCTCTAGGCATTCAAACCTGAATGCTCTTATAAAGCAGACTTTATCTTCTACTCACATTTCGTCTGTTTTAGAACCACGACACCTCTACAGGACCGATTAGAAGCGACCAGACGGTTTGACGCTCGTTCCATGTGCTGTTGCTAAGCAGCTCTTGTGGGATGTAACGGTAGTAGATTCCTTAGCTCCTTGTAGGATTAACGCCGGGTCTGTTTGTAACCCTGGTACGGCTGCCGCTGGAGCGGAAGAGCAAAAAAAAAAGACAAGTATAAAGATCTTGTAGATGATGGATAGCTTTTTCAAGCGCTAGCTTTTGAAATTCAGGGCGCGGCCGGCCCCAGCACAGAAATTTTTTTGAGCAAGCTTTGTAAGAACCTAAGCATATGCACTGAGGAACCCAGAGCAGGCAGCTTTTTAAAACAGAGAATCTCCCTGGCAATACAAATTGCGAACGCCGCTTGCGTACTCGGAACAATGAATGACAAAACAATTTTCGACGAATTTTTTTATTTGTAACACTTGTTTATTATATTTTCTCGTGTCGAGTTGCGTGTTCTTATTGAAGAAACGTAACCCGTATCGACTTTATTTGAAAAGGACTTAGACACTTGTCATCTTCTTTTATCATTATCACTTCCATATCTAGAAAATTCCAAGGATTTTGACTGGAATACGTGATGAATGGACTCCTGACTGTAACTTCGGTTACTATGATACTTTTGACTTTCTGATTACCCTCAAAAAATAAAAAATTACATGGAAATTATAGCAAGAATATAGCAATGATTATAACTCCATCTGGTCAAAAGCCGTTTACTCAGCACAATGTTTTCCATAAATCCCCAACAAAAATGTTGCAATTGCAATGAAACCAAACTCAGCTTTTGCGGGATTTTTCCTTGAGAATTCTTTCAATTATCAACAATTTCATTTGAGAGAGCTAAGAACTATTCGCGACGGAAAGGCAATTTTTTCATTAGATACAATTTCTCCTGGTCAATCTTATGTACAAAAATTAGGGCACAGCAGTTTAACTAAGATTTTCCACCTCTATCTATGGAACAAATTTTTAAATCACTATGTTCCAGTTTTTGAATTGAATTCTCTACAAGATGCAGTTGAATAGTTGCAACATTTAACATATTGGAGAAAGTTTGCGACTTGAGATATTCTTCAAGTTTGATTTTCGAGTAGGTAAGATAAGTGATTGTCCTAGGAGAAAGAGTATCAAATAATCAAATTGACATATTCAGAACATTCGCTAAATTTTTTTTAGAGTTTTTTGTTTCCTACAAACATTTTTTTTTGGGTTTTTTCGTTATTTTACTTGTACTTTCTATTTTCTTCTCCTTCAGACCTAATTCTCCTGCAAAGTTAAACAATGAATGCTGCATTGTTGAAACTCCGAGATAATTCAGTAAAAGAGACTGTAAAGTAGTTTGGATTGCAGCTTGATGTGTCTGGATTTTTGAGGATTTAGTACCTGAATACAAGTAAGTCATCAGTCTTAGTTTTTTATCCTAAGATTTTCTATCAAACGATCAATATCTTTACATTTAGATGCAAATCAAATGAGAAAAGCAAGGATGGACAATATTTCAACTGTGCAATAAATTGAAGGAATTCCTGAACTTAGATTCAAATTTATTGTAAATGCTCAAATTTGATGCTCTTTTGCGATTTTCAACTAAGCTCCAAGCAAGGATAGAGTTGAACAGCGGACGATGATTGCGCGGTTATACAAAAATTTCTATGTTAAAGATTTATCGAGGGAAAAAATTCAATTTGTTCTTAACAAAAAAAAGTCAGCGCATGGTTCAAAAGAAATTTCAAAGAACTGATAATTTGTTCGGTTTTCACGCAAAATATTCAGCACTTTTTTTAATTCTATCAGAATGATTTGAGTATCTTTCGTGGTGTTAATGTTTTGAATTTATCAATAAATATTTTTAATAACGCAGTACGTTTTTTGCGAATGCAAATTGATGCAATATATTTATATACGATGAGGTGATTTTACTTGTCTTCAGTTGTAATTTTCTTCTTGAATGTGTAATGAAATTTCCATCTTCAAGGAAATTTTCTTCAGTTGTTTCCTTATTAAACACTTGAAGCGTACAATTTGCTGAATGCCAGCTGAGAACAACCGGGAGTTTGTGGGAAAATCAGGAAAAAATGGTAATTTTCCAATATTGGTACGAATATGTTTGATAAAAACTATAAAAATTAAGCTAAATGTGATTATTTTTAACAATGCTTCTAATAAGGAAGTTTTTCCAGGTACTGTTTGTTTGCTTCAACACTAATCTCATTAAAAGTTTGCTTTGGGAATGATGTATACACTACAAATTTTCAAGATCCTTAAATTATTATTTTCTCATCTTTGTCAGTGAAAATTTGACACATTTGATGTAAATTGATGAACAGTTACAATTTTTTCGACCCGATGTTACGAGAACCACATTGTATTGGGTGTGGTAGAGACGGTAAAAAGCACGTAAAGCTCTTTTTAGACGCTAGCCCAACGTTTCATGGTCTGACTTTACTTTTCCATCGGTATGTACTTCGGGCGAATGTTACCCCTCAGTTTCCTTTAGAGTTTATTTTGTAGTTTTGAAATCTGAAGTTACTCAAAATTCAATCCTGTTCGGTTAAAGTCTTGGTGTAAAGCAAATCAAAACACGCCATTGTTCAACTAAATTTTAACCGATATTTTCAGATCAAGGTAAAGATAAAACATGTAACAATCTTCGCGATTGTAATTGAATTATAAAATTCTGATATATCTGCCTGCAAGATGAATCACTTTGAATTACCCCCTGGGGTGGCAATGACCCCAAACCAAATCAATGCTGCCGGTGGTTTCATGGGAGGGCATTCTATGTCAGGTGGAATGGCAGTTCCATCCTTGACGGAGGAGCAATTACAGGAAAAAGCCAAGAAGTGGCAGCAATTGCAGCAAGCTAAATATGCAGAAAAGCGAAAGTTTGGATTTGTAGACACTCCTAAGGAGGATATGCCACCAGAGCATGTCCGCAAAATTGTTCGAGACCACGGCGACATGACAAACAGGTAAAAAACTGAAAAGCTTTGGATTGACTGTTTTTTTTCTGGACATAGAATGCTTATCAATATGAGTTTTTTTGCTTCAGGAAGTTCCGACATGATAAACGGGTATATCTAGGGGCACTGAAGTGGATGCCGCATGCAATCATCAAACTATTGGAAAACATGCCAATGCCCTGGGAACAGGTCCGCGAAGTGCCCGTGATCTATCACATTACAGGCGCTATCACATTTGTTTGCGATACACCCCGAGTGATTGAACCTCTTTACATGGCACAATGGGGGTGAGTATAATAATTCATCACATGCATTTCTGCCTCGGAAATGGAAAGTCAACATACTTATTTTGCTGATTTTTAGAACGATGTGGATCATGATGAGGCGAGAAAAGCGTGATCGAAGACATTTCAAACGAATGAGGTTTCCTCCATTTGATGACGAAGAGCCTCCTCTGGACTATGCTGACAATATTCTGGATGTTGAACCGCTGGAGCCAATCAGAATGGAACTGGACCCTGATGAGGATGTAGCAGTGGCTGACTGGTTCTATGACCACAAGGCACTCGTTGGCACTAAGTCAGTATCAATTATCAAAATTTGCTACTAACAAGGCCGCATTAGCTTCAAATTCCGTCTCCATTGTAGGTTTGTGAATGGTGACACTTACCGAAAGTGGAATTTGTCGCTTCCTGTGATGTCTACGCTGTACAGACTGGGAAGTCAGCTGCTCACTGACCTGGTGGATGACAACTATTTTTACATCTTCGACCTCAAGTCCTTTTTCACCGCCAAGGCTCTTAACCTTGCCATCCCCGGAGGCCCGAAGTTTGAACCACTTGTCAAAGATCAAGCACTCAAGTGAGTTGAGAGAGTAAAAATTACCTAGTGATCCAGTTTTATTTAATTGGGTTAGTTTTGTAAAAAAAAAAGTGTAAATCATAAAAAATTCTGAAGTGTATTTTTTTCGCAAGATGAAAAATATTACAAAACGAAAAATATTTATAAAAAAGTCATTCATTTTTTGGTGTACACGAGCTTATTGACTTGTTCCAACTTTCTATTGGCTATGTTTTGCAACTTCATGGAAAAGAGTATATCCAAACTCCTTTGGTTAAGTATTTAATCACCTTTTTTTAAGTGACGAGGATTGGAATGAGTTCAATGATGTGAACAAAATCATCATCAGACACCCATTGCGTACAGAGTACCAGATAGCTTTTCCCTATCTCTACAACAGCATGCCCAACTACGTGCACCTGCCCAAGTACCACACCCCTTCTGTCGTTTTCATCAAGACCGAGGACCCCGATCTGCCCGCATTCTACTTCGACCCCCTCATCAACCCCATCGGACACAGACAGGGCCACAAGGTAGAGTTACTTTACAGATTGCAGAGCTAATTTAAAGGTAGAGAGGGAGCTGCAGTGAATTGGCCAAACCTCCGCGCCTTCCAGGGTGTAGCTTCATTGTCAATCCAAAAATGCATGTAGTTCTTAGAAGCGGTTCTCCGCCTAGAGCTGAACAGCTCGGATGCTGGTCTCTTCTCGTGGCATAATTGCCTCAGCCTTATTTTGCGATTAATTGAATGATCTATTGGTTGAACATACTTTACTCTTAAAGTTAGACACCGTTTTTCAGTAGTACGGCATTGTTAGATCGGAATTGCCCAGGGATAACTACTTTGCAAATCTGTTTCAATATCAGTTATAAATTGGATCTTGTTTGCAATCACAGTAAATTTGTAAACCCTGTAAATCCCTGTTGCTCCGTAAGAATATGAATTTTCAAAACCATTTATTCAGTCATCAAATTTCTCTTATCATTGCGTTTTATGTTTAGACCGATGAGCCCCTCCCGGAAGAAGACGAGGAGAATGTGTTCCAACTTCCAGGCTACGTCAGACCATTCCTGGAGGAGACACCACTTTACACAGATAACACTGCGAATGGAATCGCACTCCTGTGGGCGCCCAGGCCATACAATTTACGTTCAGGTACTATGAGATATTCTTTATAAGTTCCCCGTGATTTTTATTCGAGTGCGCCTATTATAAAAAAAATTACCCTAAAAATGACTGTAGCACTGAATGCGAATACTAACGAATCTATTTTGAAGCAATCGGCGCGCGCAATTTTCTTCAATGCTAAATATATAGGAAAAACTAAGCGAGTATCTTAGATGAATACTTTAATGATGCATGTCGGTCGACTGAATTTATACATTGGTTCTAGGTCGAACACGACGCGCAGTGGACGTGCCTCTTGTGAAGTCCTGGTACAGAGAACATTGTCCCAGTGGAATGCCAGTGAAAGTACGAGTGTCATACCAGAAGCTTCTGAAGTACTTTGTTCTCAACTCACTTCATCACAGACCCCCAAAAGCACAGAAAAAGAGATATCTGTTCCGGTCCTACAAGGCCACTAAATTCTTCCAGTCCACGAAGCTGGACTGGGTCGAAGCCGGATTGCAAGTTTGCAGACAAGGATATAACATGTTGAACCTTCTCATTCATAGAAAGAATCTCAACTACCTTCATTTGGATTATAATTTCAACCTGAAACCAGTCAAGACTTTAACAACGAAAGAGAGAAAGAAGTCTCGATTCGGAAACGCCTTCCATTTATGCAGAGAAATTCTACGTTTAACAAAATTGATCGTCGATGCTCATGTGCAATATAGACTTGGAAATATTGACGCATACCAACTCGCAGATGGTATGCAGTATATATTCACACATGTTGGACAACTAACAGGTATCTACAGATACAAATACAAATTGATGAAGCAAATCCGAATGTGCAAAGATCTCAAACATGTTATTTACTATCGGTTCAACACGGGCGCCGTCGGCAAGGGTCCAGGCTGTGGGGTTTGGGCACCGACTTGGAGGGTGTGGCTATTTTTCCTCAGAGGTGTGGTCCCGTTGCTAGAACGCTGGCTAGGTAATTTGCTGGCTCGTCAGTTCGAAGGCAGACACTCAAAAGGTGTTGCGAAAACTGTAACTAAACAAAGAGTTGAGAGTCATTATGATTTGGAACTTCGTGCAGCTGTGATGCACGATATTCTGGACATGATGCCAGAAGGAATTAAGCAGAACAAAGCAAGAGTGATTCTGCAACATTTGAGTGAGGCCTGGAGGTGCTGGAAGGCTAACATTCCCTGGAAGGTACCTGGACTACCCACACCAGTGGAAAACATGATTCTGAGGTGGGTTGAATTGAATACTCAATGTGTGCTGTTTCAAGTGCAAATTGTCATGCTCGAGTAAAAGAATTTTTAATTAATTGTTCCGACTGGGAAAGTTTGCGACTTTTCTTATTCGACTGATTTTATAGTGTCTTTGGTCAAAAATGCATGGTTAATTTGATTCGGTTGGCCTAAAAATGATTGGATAGATAATGCTCAAAACAAAATCAAGTTAAGAAAGTACCCACAAGGGACAATTAACATTATCTGAAGTGTTGTATTATTAGATACGTGAAGAGCAAGGCTGATTGGTGGACTAACACAGCTCACTACAACAGAGAGAGAATCAGACGAGGAGCGACAGTGGACAAGACTGTTTGTAAGAAGAACCTCGGAAGACTCACTCGACTGTACCTCAAAGCAGAACAGGAGAGACAGCACAACTATCTGAAAGATGGTCCATACATTACGGCAGAAGAAAGTGTGGCTGTTTATACCACGACTGTCCATTGGCTTGAGAGCAGAAGGTTCTCGCCGATTCCGTTTCCACCATTGGCTTACAAGCATGACACCAAGTTGCTAGTGTTGGCTTTGGAGAGACTTAAAGGTAACTCAACCGTGTTGTGTATATTATTTTGACTTCGTTAGATTTTAAGACAAATTGAAAGGATTAACTATTTTTGACGGCTTTGATACCAACGATGAGAAAAAATAGTATGTTTATTGTTCATGATCGCTTTGCTTAATTGATTGTTGTTTCTAAGTTTTCGAAAAACTGACATTTATTTCTTGAGCTTGATTCATTCAAAACATGACACTAGGGGGGAGTGGCGGTGAAGTAGTTATTATCTCCATCTATCAATCGAAAGGTCGGGTGTTCGAGGCCCAGCATCATCCGTGCGCGTTGCTTGAGTTTTAGATAGCATTACTCAGGCCAGAAAAATAACCAAAAAACGCATATAAATCTTACTCAAGCGCAACAGCGGTTCTTCGAAGAGATGGATAGGTCATATATTGGTCCTTTCTCTTGTGGATAAAATTGTTTTAACTAGTTCTGTACTATGAAGATTTATGTTCTTCTGTTTTTTAGAGGCCTACAACGTGAAGAATCGTCTGAACCAGAACCAGCGAGAGGAACTGGGTTTGATCGAACAGGCTTACGACAACCCCCACGAAGCACTCTCTAGAATCAAACGTCACCTCCTCACCCAGAGAGCTTTCAAAGAAGTGGGTATTGAATTCATGGACTTATACAGTCACCTAGTGCCAGTGTATGACATTGAGCCCCTGGAGAAGATCACGGATGCGTACCTGGATCAGTATCTGTGGTATGAAGCAGATAAAAGAAGATTGTTCCCGCCATGGATTAAACCGACCGACTCGGAACCCCCACCGCTCCTGGTTTATAAATGGTGTCAGGGTAAGTTCACCACTATTTATTGTAATACGGGACGTGGAAAAATGGACTTTGTTTTTGAATGAACAACATTCTTAAAATAGATGTAGTTTTATTCAAAATATCTGAATTTGGTATCTATAGGCAATATCATTGAAAATTGATATCTGCGGGATAACTGCAAATTAGGCAAAAACTAAAAGAATTTATGCTTTCAAAGAAATTAATCTATTACAACGAGAGTTTACTTTCTTAGTTCATGGTAGAATAAAGGGTGTTTAAGAATCGATGAACATAATTCAGACTCTTTTATAGGTGCTGATGATTTTTAATATGTCTTTATGTCATCATTTTTCTGTTTACTTGCGTTCATTGACTCTTTTCCAACTGTCTGCTGGCTATGTTTAATGTTCATGTACCACCGCATTTGAAAATCTATTTAGGGATCAACAATCTTCAGGATGTTTGGGACACTTCGGAGGGGGAGTGTGGGGTGATGATGGAGACTACGTTTGAGAAGATGTATGAAAAGATAGACTTGAATCTGCTGAACAGACTTCTCCGACTCATCATAGACCACAACATTGCCGACTACATCTCGGCCAAGAACAACATAGTCATCAATTACAAGGTTACTCCATTATGAAGAAAATAGACACGTTTAAATGGTTATAATAAGTTGTAATAATTAACATTCTATAGTCGAATCAGAGAATATAATTAAATTTTGCTTACAGAACATTTCGATTATAAACCAAACATAGGTCATCAAAATTTTGCAGATGTGAGCCTTCCCGAATACCCTATTCTTCCGAGTTTTGTCCGATGATCGTGTCATTACAGAAATATATTTCAGCGCAGTTTATAATCTGTTGAAATAGTTTTTTGAACTGAAACTAATTTTTTTAAGACTGCGAACCAAGTTTGTAACGGAGAAGTTTTCAGCTTTCAAAATATATGTTCTTGATTTTTCTATAGATTGCGTTGTTTAGGACATGAACCACACTAACTCGTACGGCATAATCCGTGGCCTGCAGTTTGCTTCCTTCGTGACCCAGTACTATGGACTAGTCTTAGATCTTCTGGTTCTTGGACTGCAGAGAGCCAGTGAGTTAGCTGGACCCCCTCAGATGCCAAATGATTTCCTCACTTTCCAGGAGGTGTCGGTCGAGACCGCTCATCCTATCAGACTGTATTCGAGGTATAAAAAAGACACAAAAACTGCACGTAGTCCAGGGGTCGATTTAGAATTAAACAGTAATTTTGTCAACAAGGTCATTATGGGGTTTTTGGAGAGCTCGTGAAATCAATTTGGTCGTCCTAAGAAGATTTCGGCCAAGTTTTCATTTTTTGAAAATCCCCCTGGAGAAAATCCTAAATTCGCCCTTATGTAGCCATCAATCATTTGCACTAAAACGGAGCTGCATTAAATGTATATGATGTTCGTTTTTCTTTTCGCTAACACTGAATAATTTACACTTGAACCGAAGTTTAGATCATCTGATGTTTTATTATTGCATTTCGCATTTTTTTGTCAGAGAAGTATTTTTTGGCCTTAAATGGACAGACAGGATTTGTAGAAGACCTATTCGAGGATCATTCGTCTTTTTCAAAGAGTAAAATTTTGTTATTAATGCCTGGTTTATAGACAAACTGTTGCGTTGTCACGAAAGTGGAGTATATATACACGTTCTACCTTGAAATATAAGGTGATATGTCATTTGGGTGATATGTTTTGTCTTTTAGGTATATAGACCGTGTGCACATGTTCCTGCGTCTGACAGCTGAGGAGGCGAGGGAGTTGATCCAGCGCTACCTGACTGAACACCCGGACCCCAACAACGAGAACATAGTGGGCTACAACAACAAGAAGTGCTGGCCGAGGGATGCGAGGATGCGGCTGATGAAGCATGATGTGAACTTGGGAAGGGCTGTGTTCTGGGACATGAAGAATAGATTGCCGAGGAGTGTGACTACTTTTCTGTGGGAGAGCAGTATGGTGTCCGGTTAGTGAAATAATTACTTCTAGTTGAACAGATGGACTTAAAAACGTGTAGAAAAAGCTTAAAATGTCGGCTCTGTCACTAAGTTAGATAACGTAATATCGAGAAGTAATTTAATAAAGTACTAATTGAACAAATTGTTTTAAAATTTAATTTTTATAATTTGAAAGCTTGCAAAAGTTTGATGTCTCTCCAAAGTACTGCTAAGATTTCAACAGCTTGGGTAATGCGTTCAAAGAATATTACTTTGAACCAAATATTTGCCGTTGTTATTAATCCTGAAGTAAAGTTTTAAGGTTCTATGGGCTCCTTAAAATTTAATCTGTTGATGTATTTTTGTTGTAGTCTACAGCAAGGACAATCCGAATCTGCTGTTCGACATGAGTGGCTTCGAGTGCAGGATTCTGCCCAAGTGCAGGACTACTTTTGAGGAGTTCAGCCACAGGGACGGAGTGTGGAATCTGCAGAATGAACTGACTAAAGAGAGGACAGCTCAGTGCTTCTTAAGAGTGGACGACCAGAGCATGCAGAAGTTCCACAATCGAATCAGGTAGATAAAACTAGCATCATTTTATATAGTTATTGCAAGATGAAGAACGGTGCTACATGCGTTATAGGTTTTTGACTTGGTTTTTACATGCAGGAATGAAGAAAATAACTGATTTGCGACGTCTAAATGAGCAGTTTTAGGTTAATTGACTTCTTTCAGAATCATCGATCGAAAAACATCTTGCGAACAATTTGGCGTTGACCCAGATCCCATAATCGAAAATTGTTGGTCTGCGTTAAGCTTTTTAATCAAATTTAAAATGTGAGGGTGGATGATCTTAATTTGTTCCATTTAGAGCTGAGAATAAAAACTTGATTTGGGTTTTTTCATAAGCATTCAAATCTACCATAATAACTGCTGGTGATTTTAATTGTTCGTCCTCAAGTTTTTATTATGTAATGCTGTTTGTGTTTAGGATGATTCTGATGGCCTCTGGTTCTACTACTTTCACTAAAATTGTGAACAAGTGGAACACTGCTCTGATTGGTCTAATGACATACTTCCGAGAGGCAGTGGTAAATACACAGGAACTACTGGATCTCCTGGTCAAGTGTGAGAACAAGATCCAGACCAGAATCAAGATCGGATTGAATTCCAAAATGCCAAACAGATTCCCGCCTGTGGTGTTCTACACACCTAAGGAGTTGGGAGGACTGGGAATGTTGAGTATGGGTCACGTGTTGATTCCACAGAGTGACTTGAGGTGGTCCAAACAGACGGATATTGGCATCACTCACTTCAGGTCTGGAATGAGTCACGACGAGGATCAACTCATTCCTAATCTTTACAGGTAGGAACCTGAAATGAAGAGTGTCCCTAAATAATCATTTCAGTTATGTTGCACACTTAGGGTCGACATAACCTGGAATTTTTTTATTGAAGACGCTTAGCACAAAAATGAATAAAATTGTATATACTGTTTTAATGGATGTGATTACCAAGTTTTCATGATCCTGTCATAGTTTTATTCTACATCATAAACGAAATTGACTTCAAACATGTTTAAATGTAATTCAATGTTGTCAAGATATATCAACCCGTGGGACAGTGAGTTCATCGATTCCCAAAGAGTATGGGCCGAATATGCTCTTAAGAGACAGGAGGCGAACACGCAGAACAGAAGACTCACTCTTGAGGACTTAGAGGACTCCTGGGACAGGGGGATTCCCAGGATCAACACCCTCTTCCAGAAGGACAGACACACTCTGGCATACGACAAGGGCTGGAGAGTGAGGACAGAGTTCAAAGCATACCAGGTATGTCGTCGGAGGGCTATCCTCATATTCGCGTTTAAGTCTCAACCAACAACTCTCTTTAAACTTTTGAATACTGAACTCTGATTGGTTTACAAAAATGTCGCGTATTCGGCAGGCGCGGAGCTAGGAATTTCTCGAGGGGGAGGGGCGGATTTTCAAAAAATTTTACAAATTACTTTTTTTTCTAGGTCGGCCAAATTGATTTTCTGAGCTTTCCCAAATCACTATAAAGACCCTGATTTGACATATATTGATATAAATTTTTGAGAAAAGGCGTTTTTAGGATTTTTTCGATAATATTAACCAAAAAAATCGCGTTATCAAGATAGTACAAAGTGGGGACCCTTTGGGTCGGCAGGGGGTCGAATCCCTGAGGGGGGAGCGTCTGCCCCCTTCCCCCTAAATCTGCTACTGGTATTCGGTATTTCGCGCATGAGGAATTCCCCAGGTCATCGGTGTCACGACAGAAAAAAAAAGAGTATGGGTACCCGGACGTTGTGTCAACAAACTGAAAGTGAGGAGAGTACATAAAACTAAAAATTACGTATCAAGACAGTAGTCGTTTTGTTATCTGACAAAGCCTAGACACGAAGAAACTTGAAAGATGAGAAAACTTAAATCAAAAGCGACCACCGTTATCATCTGACAGATAACACATGTTCCATATTTAGTGCGCTTTGCGTGACATTGTCTGATTTTTCAGGCTGTCGCTTTAAACTCAAAATTGAAGACTTTTCCTGTCATTTTTTGTTCTGAAATCTTTCTAAATGAAGTTTTTGTCTCATTAAAAATTGAATTAAGTTTTAAACATCTAACAGTTATCTAAAGTAGAATTATCAAATATTTAGTGATACATCACATCATTCAATTCAAATTGAACGATCTAATTCTTGATTATGGGAAATCAAGTCTTTGATTCAAATATGTTAATTTGATTTCCTAAAATCTGTCTGGCTTGCCAACTCCAAAGTTAGGATAGTTTCCAGACTTGGAAACAGTGAATTTGTCCACCACTTTGGCCTGTTCTATGCTGTACTGCTCCAGTTGAATTGTGAGTCTGTCTTTGACTTTGAGTCTTGTGAATCCGTACTCGTTAGTCCGGAACACACTCCAGTCTGGCTTAGGGTAGCGGAAGAAGCCCCGGAACTCACGGCAGCCGGCAGACCCGGTGATCACTTGCACTGGATAGATCGGATCTAAACGAAAAATGTTTGCTGAGTCATTTTTTGCTCTATAAACAGCAGTTTCGATTATCGAGCTTTACCGGAGCCCTTACATGTTAAGTTAACGGTGTTCGGATAATGTATTGCTAAAAAACGCTTTTGAAAGGTTAAAGAGCTGTATTTCATCAGTTTATTTAGGTCGCCGTATTAGGAATAAACTAACCTTTGTATTCTGAAGTGTTTGCAACTTGTTCGTACTTGTACTGATATATAGGCAGCAGTCTCTCATAATTGTGCTCGTGTGCATAGAACTGAAGATCGACCCCATTTTCTAGAAATAATTGTTCCAACTCATACAATCTGGTGGAGTTGCTCTCGATTCCCAGTCGCATTGGGTTGTCCTCTTTGGTACATGCAGCAAGGGGGCTGAGACTGCTGCAGTACATCGGCCTATGAGCCATAGCCACTATCCATGGCTGGGCCTCTCTGGCTTCTTTGGTGTTGGCTCTGGCGAGGTCCTCTACTATCCAGTTGTACTGTGCCTGCAATATATAGAATATAGCATGTCAAATTGGATGTCTCAAGATAACTGTTTCAAGAATATTTCAAGATAACTGTAAGTGTATGTCACATGTCAGATTTGCTAACTATTTTTGAACATGTTTATGAAGAAGCCCTCATTTTCAATGCGAAATGAAAAAAAAACAAGTTTCTGCGGTGTAAGTAAGTGATCCGTGGCATTCATCGTTCATGGTAATCAATTTCAATCGACAACTTACAAGCGATTTGTGTTTGCAACAATTGAGATATAATAATTACTGATGGTCGTACTTGTAATTGTTCAGTGCCGAAGTTAATGAAGAAATAGAATTCGGCGCTGAACATAATGATGTGCAGGGGTCCCACATTGAAGCTATGATAGAAAACACTGGGAGCTGGACCTGTGAATCTTCCCGCAAACTCGGAGAAGTTGTTGTGGTGCTCGTGGTTGCCAACTGCCACATTGTAGGGTACTCTGGCAGCCACCGACTGGATTTCATTCATGAACAAGTCTCCCTTGCCTCCCAGAAAGCCATTCATGTCATAAGCGAAGTCGCCGATATGAATAATCATGTCAAAGTTTTTTTTGTCCAGGTCCTGAAAGCATAAACGCTGCTTAAAATATTTTTAAATCATGCCCTTGCATAAAACTCAATCGCAGCTAATATGAATGATTTCTAGGTGTCCCATATTTCCTTTTTCAAGGCTTGTTTAGTATCCATGCCTTTTTCGTTTTTTTTTTGAATTTAAGAGCCTCTTGTTGCCGTTTTTTTGTGTGTTTGCGAAGTGCAGCTTCTCGTCTGTGTTTAAACTTACCATTTGAAACGGTTTTAAGCATCTATTGAACTCGCAGTTTATAAGAAAAGCAATTTCCCATAGCTACCACATACTTGTTGTATCTTGGCAAGTGACACGTGGTTCACTGCTCCCATGTCTCCATATATGGTAAGTCTGGGAAGGAAAGGATCTTCAGAGGTGGAATTTGGGAAGGTGGTGAAGTTGAATGATTCACTCTCTCGCAGTCCATTTCGCACAAAGTAGGCTGAAAAGAGACTGAAATGCTGATTCTTTTCCATTAAATGCCTCCTTCATAGCAGTAAAATCTTAGTTACAAGGCGACTAAAATAGGAAAGAGTAGCAATACGAACTGACTGATAAAGTTTAGTCGCTACAATTTTTTGCTACTTTTGTTTCACGAGATAGATTTCAATAAGTTCCGAATAAATTCTGAAAATATATCTATTGAGTCACGGTCTAAAGATGTGAGAAAAAAATCAGATGTTTGTTGTCCACGTCAAATTTCAAAACACGAGCGAAATTAAACTAAAATTTATTGCGAAACCTAATTGTTCATTAATTTAGATGAGCGTTAAATTGTTGAAATAAGTTTTTGAAATGGCGAAATGTCATAAAATTTGAGATTTTTGGTCAGATTTGACTAACTGTATGTTGTATGTGGTAGAAGAGGTCGCATCGTGGCCCTGTATGTGTAAGTGGTCCGTGTTAAGTATTTTCCATTGAGTTCATCAGTGTGAACCAGGGGTGTCTTGGAGGCTTCGACTGTTTTTGGTGAAGTGCCTTTTGAGAAGAAAGTGGCAGATCCCTTCTCAGCGTCTAGCAAGGTGCTCCAAGTCACGAACATGGAGTCTATTTCTCCTAAACACAATTGTAAATTGTAAAACATACTTGCCAATTAAGCATGTAGGGCTTAGTTCAAGGGTTTAACTGCGATTGTCCTAAGAAATATGAAAAGCGATGGGAAGGTGGCTAAGGTATCACAAATATCGGTCGAAAGGTGGACGATTCCAAGGCTTAGGATTCTTGCTAGTTACTTGAAGCCAGGGTCATGTAACATTACCCAGCCCAGAAATAACCAGAAGAATTGTATTTAAGTCTTGTAAGTGGATATGAATGAGGAACTTGACCTTTTCTCTTCGACATTTAAGGAATTCGACACTCTTACGCCCAAGTCGTTTCCACATGGTATTTTTCCTTCAGCTCCAAAATGTAGTTTTTTGAGAGCAATTTAACATATCACGAAAAAAAACTTATACTCTGAAAACAGGTTTCCATTGAAAGGCAGCTCATGAGCAGCTAAGGGGCTCGGTTCGGCTAGTAAAAAATGGTCCGAAGTCTCACCGGTGTATGCAAGATGAATCTGTTCTGGATTTTTGGCCGACACTCTTTCGACATCCTGCAGTTCTTCTGAAGATGCTTGTTGTCTAATTTCATTTCCGTCTCCGCTTGGAAGAGAAAATACTGCTGATGTTAGCAAAATAACAACAGATAACGCTGATATTTTTGTGTGCATTTTCTTTGTCTTTCTGGTATTATGTGACGTTTAATTGCCTTGAATGATTTAGTAGTGCGACAGTATCAGCTCAGATCATGAGATAATCTGATTTATTGCAACATTCTCTGTTAGCCTATAAAATTGGATGGAACTTGCCTGATTTTATTTGGTAAATAATATGAACTTCAGTGTTATTTATCTTAAGAAGTTTTGGTTAGACGATGATATGAATCTTAAAGTTTGTTCCTTAAATAGATGAAAACACGTGATGATTCACATGTTCTTTTTCCAGATGACGTCTAACTTTGTCAAATAACAGTCATATTAAAAGGGGGTGTCTCAGTGTTTACACGACTCGTTATCGATGCTTATGACTTCGAACTGCGATATTTTTTCTACTGTATCTGAATTGGCATCATATTTAGCCCAAAAAAATATTTTGGTTTATCAAAAGGCTTGCTTATATTTAGCAGTCCAGAGGAACGATGATTCGGCAAAGTTTTCCTTTCGCCTACACAAACGCTATCAACAGAACCTCAACGCTTTGTCCTCAATTTTTTGATGAGCATAATATGAAGTGTATTATAAATGTTGTAATAATAATAAAAGCTTCGTTTAGATTTTGAAGCAGAACCCGTTCTGGTGGACCCACCAGCGTCATGACGGAAAACTATGGAATCTGAACAACTACAGGACAGACATGATCCAGGCACTGGGGGGAGTGGAGGGCATCCTGGAACACACTTTGTTCAAGGGCACGTACTTCCCCACCTGGGAGGGGCTGTTTTGGGAGAAGGCCAGTGGCTTCGAGGAGAGTATGAAGTTCAAGAAGCTGACTAATGCGCAGAGGGGAGGTCTGAACCAGATCCCAAACAGACGATTCACGCTCTGGTGGAGTCCGACCATCAACAGAGCCAATGTAAGTCAAACATTGTGACAGTTATGAGTTACTTGAATTGAATGTTACTTGAGTTTGTTGTTATGCGAAAAAAATTGAATCATGTCAAGGGTAAATAATTTCTAATCAGTTTTTCTATTTCTTGCATCATTCAGGCTACTGGTGGTTTCCATAAATATACACCCATTAATAGGAGTAATCAGTTGAAGTACGATTGTAATCAAAAAGAAATGATATGAAAAGTCGGTAGAACGTTATCTTAAATTCTTAAATAGAGTTCGTTCCAATCGATATTAACTGACGTGGTTTTTACTAGGTGTACGTGGGTTTCCAAGTCCAGCTGGATTTGACTGGCATCTTCATGCACGGCAAAATTCCCACCCTCAAGATCTCCCTCATCCAGATCTTCCGAGCCCATCTGTGGCAGAAGATCCACGAGAGTGTGGTGATGGATCTGTGCCAGGTGTTCGACCAGGAGCTTGACGCCCTGGAGATAGAGACAGTCCAAAAAGAGACCATCCATCCGAGGAAGAGCTACAAGATGAACAGTTCATGTGCTGATATTCTGCTGTTTGCGGCATATAAATGGAACGTGTCCAGACCATCTCTCCTCGCAGACTCAAAGTAGGGATTTTGTTTAGTTTCATTTGAAATTGAACTCATTTTTGCTATTGGTTTTGATGTTTTTATGTGATCGCGACATAAATTACAATGCTTGAAAAACTGTAAACAGGAAAAAATTAGTTTTTGTCTATTACCCTCAAAGCTAACTCTATTTGAAGTAACATGGAAAGTTGAACACATGTTCAAAAATATACCCACGGCTTCTCAATAAGGCGATTTTTGCTATATTTTTAGGTATCAAAAAGTGCCGGACAATGCTTCTTATCGTATTTGACATGTGTTTATTTTCAGGGACGTTGAGGATGGTTCCACTAGTCAGAAGTACTGGATCGACATCCAACTCAGATGGGGAGACTATGACTCCCATGATGTGGAGAGATATGCGAGGGCTAAGTTCCTGGATTACACCACAGATAACATGTCCATCTATCCCTCTCCCACTGGGGTATTGGTGGCCATAGATCTCGCATACAATCTGCACAGGTGAGTAACACTCTTTCGCTTAGAAGTGAAGCCAATCTTAAGTTATGCTTGCTGAGCCTTAAGCTGAGAATCATTGTAATTTGAATGAAGATTGTCGCCCAGTGGATTAATTGTTAAGTTTTCAAATATTGAAAATAAGCTTTTGTCGAGATTAGCATGTGCTTTTAAACATAAGCTTCATAAAAATTCCGTTCTCGATAAAAACTGACTTATTTTCCAGAATAATGGCCCTTCTAGCTTGGAATGTAAAAATCTTTATTTTTTGTTCTTATTCTCGTATATGCTCTTTATAGTTTGAGGTAGTATTTGATTTAGTTTCAATAAATGGCGTTATATTTTAGTGCGTATGGTAACTGGTTCCGAGGATCAAAAGTCCTCATCCAACAAGCTATGGCCAAGATCATGAAAGCCAATCCTGCTCTTTACGTGCTGAGAGAACGAATCAGAAAAGGTCTGCAACTGTACAGCAGTGAACCCACAGAACCCTACCTATCTTCTCACAATTATGGAGAACTGTTCTCGAATCAGATCATCTGGTTTGTGGATGACACCAATGTGTACAGAGTGACAATCCACAAGACCTTCGAGGGAAATCTGACTACGAAACCAATCAACGGGGCAATTTTCATTTTCAACCCGAGGTTAGGAAAACAAGTGTTAAACTGAAGGAAACCTGGTCAAAATAGCTGAAGTGGGAATTGAATTGATTGTTTGCTCTCTAAAAAATGGGAAGCAGTTTTAAAATGAAAAGTAAGTTTTAAACCGTATAAAAAGTGCGCTGAGCAGGACGGATTATCGTCTAGTAACCTTTTTTTGCTGTTGTCTCGCTTTCTATCATGGGCTTAATTATGTGCATTTTGGATTTTTGAGAAATATGGAACGAAATACACAAACTTCAAAAAAGTTTTTTTTCTAGGAAATTACAGTAAATCCATTTTAACTACTCTGGCTTGGAGAAATTTTTCAGCATCGTCTCTTGCGACTATCGTGTCACAAATCTGGTCACCAAAAGTCTATCAGAAACTAATGATTTTCGGTTTACAGTTCAATGACAACTGATAATTTAGGACCTCCCGGATAGTTTATTTCTACTTCCAGCTATAGACGCACGCCTCTGGTAACTTTGACCACCCAGTCATTATGCACCTATTATCAATTTAAATACTAGAATAATTACATTAGTTTTCTTGTTTTAGAACGGGCCAGTTGTTCCTCAAGATCATCCACACTTCAGTCTGGGCGGGCCAGAAACGTCTGGGCCAGTTGGCCAAGTGGAAGACAGCTGAAGAAGTGGCTGCTCTGATCCGATCACTCCCAGTGGAGGAACAGCCCAAGCAGATCATAGTCACCCGGAAGGGAATGTTGGATCCCCTCGAAGTGCATCTGCTGGACTTCCCCAACATTGTGATCAAAGGCAGTGAGCTCCAGCTGCCTTTCCAGGCTTGTCTCAAGGTCAGTCAAATTTGTACTGCTTTTATCTGCTTGCGCAGAATGATTTATTCGAACGTGTTCGGTTTTTCAAGCAAATTTTTTTTTGCGATTTCTGCAGTTTTTCAAGCAAAAAATTTATTCGAACCGAACGTGTTCGATTATGCAAGATATCTAAAAATATATTTTAACTAAGAGAGTTTTTCATATCTGCGGTTGGTTTTATCAGGTTGAGAAGTTGGGCGATCTGATCTTGAAAGCACTTGAACCCCAGATGGTGCTGTTCAACTTATACGACGACTGGCTCAAAACCATCTCCTCCTACACTGCATTCAGTCGTCTGGTGCTCATCCTGAGAAGCATGCACGTGAATGTAGACAAGACGAAACTGATTCTGAAGCCGGACAAGACCAGTGTGACCGAGGCACACCATATATGGTCATCCCTCTCAGACGAGGAGTGGGTGGGGGTGGAGGTGCAGTTGAAGGACCTCATCTTGGCAGACTACGGGAAGAAAAACAAGTTTGTTGATATATGTTTTCTTGTTGTTTGTAGCTGCACGCAGGATGGATCGCACAACTCGTGTCTCCCTTTTGGTTTATTTCCAGTACTCCACATACTAAGATATATTTTTTTCCTAATTGTTGTTGGTGTATAAGAATTGTATAGCTATATAATGTTTGAAATAAATAATGCCAGAAATATCTTCAATTCTACCAAAAGAAGTCATCGTGCGTAAATATCTGCGAAGATGACCAGAAAACGTTTTCTTTGACTTGCCGCCGCTTTTTTTTAAGTGTCGTGATGGCCAATGGTTTCAATTGAGCCAGCGCTTACTAGTTCGAAAAGCATCAGGGTCCGTGATCATTGCCGAACGAGAAGAATTTTTCAGACAAAAAAAAACAAAATGAAGAAGAGACCATATACAGCGGTTTTCCTTGAATAGCTGGAAAAAAAATTTTTGCACTTGCTCAGTGATGAATATCTTTAATGTGTTAATTGTGTTTTAGTGTGAATGTGGCCTCCTTGACTCAGAGTGAGATAAGAGACATCATTCTGGGCATGGAGATCAGTGCGCCCTCTGCCCAGAGACAGCAGATAGCAGAGATAGAGAAACAGACCAAAGAACAGAGTCAACTCACATCCACAACTACGAGGACTGTCAACAAACACGGAGACGAGATCATAACGGCCACCACTTCAAACTACGAGACAAATGCATTCAAGTGAGTAGTGCTTTGAGTACTAATTTGAAAGTCTTTAATTGAACTAAGCGACGAATCAAATCACAATTCAACAAGTGAGGGAGGGATGTCGTTTTTCAACCAATTAATGAAGTTTGAATAGAGAAAAAGTTTGTTTTGGGTTAGATGGAGCAATAATTAGCTCTTGCCAGGAGCATGAATAATTTTCAATCATTGGTTTCTATTAAAAATCAGCGTTTTAAACAAAAACAAGAAAAATTTAGTGATAGTCACGTCAAAAATAGTTTAATCAATCGTGAATACAATCCTGCTAGCTTTTCTTGCTTTCCAAAACTCTTTAACTTTTTTGGTGCAAAGATATAAAAGTAGTTTGTCCTATATGTATAAATTTTGTATTGGTAATACGCAACAAAGATTTTAATTTTTTTGCTTTGTAGTACTAAGACGGAGTGGAGAGTGCGTGCCATCTCGTGTACCAATCTGCACCTGAGGACTAACCACATCTACGTGTCCACCGAGGACATCAAAGACACAGCTGGGTTCACATACATCCTTCCCAAGAACCTCCTTCGCAAGTTCATCTGCATGTCAGACCTCAGAACACAAGTAATCGATCACTCAAACATTATTTATTCAACCGTCTCAATACTTTCATTACACAAGTTTTTTTGAACTATTTTCATTGAAAGAAGATAATTGTTTTGCTCAAAATAAATCTAGAATCCGCACATGTGAATAATCATCTTGAAAACTGTGATCCACTTCTGTTACTGTTGCGTATAAATTGCAAATTTGATAAGTGTGATGTAATTGGATTTTTTATACGGCACTAGACAGTTTTCAGATTTTCAGCAAGCACTTTTTTGTGGCAAATGTTTGTAATTTTTGCGTAAATTTTTTTCAAGTTTTGTTTCGGGTATTTGTTATTCAGACGGATATTTTTTTTTCGTTTTGATGTTATACTATAAAAAAAAGCAAACAGGGCCCTTTCTTATCCTCGATTGGTTCTGTTTGATATGCATGGTGTTTGTTTGCAATATTTAATGAACAATTTTTGAGTACATATAGGATTTTTTGTGCCGCTATTTTTTCAATCTATCCCTTATGAGAAATAAATGGATTGAGTTGTGCCCGAGTCCTTCTTTTGTTTGAGGTAATTGATTGCTATAACAATTACAATAAGTTTTTCTTAATTTTTCAGCTTTTGATTTCTTCAACCAAATTAATTCATCTTTTCATTTTTGGCTCTTTATTTTGTATCGCAAGTTGTTCGAAGCTCAACTGCGCCTCTGTGTTAGTTTTTTTTGCTTATTAGTTTTTTTATTTTCTTCTCTTATTTCCCGTTTTGTCCCTTTAAGGGCTTCTTTTTGCTTTTTTTTCTTGTGCTTGCGAAGTTTCAGCTTCGACTTTGTTAGAAAACACATTATAAATGGGTCAAATGGACGCTTGATTTTTTTCTTCAGAAAACTGTGGACGAAGATGATTTGAAACGTTAAAAGATACTTAAAAGGATGTCATGTAATAACTCGTTACGAATATGCGTCGTTCAGTTAAATCGATTGGCTTACTGTTGCGAGCAAGTGACTTGTAATCGGTAGCTAGATTTTTTCCTCAAACCTTTCTTAAAAATCTGTAAAGAAATTGACCTTGCTGTTTTCTTATTGAACTTGCAGTAGTTTCCAAGCCCTCTCTTTCCGCCCACCTCACTTAAGCATCACATTTTTAGTATAACGAGGGCACTTACAAGGCTGAGTTTGATGACCAATTATGTTTGTCATAGCCTAATCAGTCCGCATGCCATTTTTTTTTATAACAATCGGACATTATGAACAGAAAAATATTTTTAAAATAAGGCTGGTGAATGGAAGGAAAAGCGTTAAAGTGCATGCCTTGGAAGTTTCAGGTCTGACAGTTGAGTCCCGGCTGGATCTTTTTTATTTCTAAAATGTTTGGGAAAGCTTGAATTGTAGGACTATCGTTTGTGTGCTTATTTTTGTCGGTGTGGTTTCTGAAACTTTTTTTGCAGATACAGTTAATCGATTTTTAAGATTTAGTTTGTTTTCCGTTTTTAAGAGTAATGAACGTAGTTTTTTCAAGTCTAGTTTTTTTCCTTGCGTTCATTACTCTTTTCCAGCTGCCAGATATTTCTGATTGTTTTTGCTCTAAAAGGTTTGGGTTTTAATAATTTCGGCGTATAGTTTCTCGGTTTATGATATTGACTCCTATTTAGTTGGTTTTTGTGCTTCGCTGGTTGTAACAACATGGATTCGTGAAACTTTTCATGACACGAAATTTTCTAAGACTTTTTTTCGATTCCTCATAAATCTACCGAAGTGTTGTCTGTCTAGTAACCGTTCGATCAGTTTTTTCCTAGTGCTAATTTAACGGTGGGCATTATGTTTCTCAAAATGTTTTCGTCAAAATGAAAATCATTCAAGACAATTTTAGATTAGGTTTTTAAAAACATTTTTCAAAAATTTTTTTCGTTTAAATGGTTTTTAGCCGCTAGATTGCAATGCTATATGTGTAATGAATTGCAAGTTTCGTGCAGCTCCGCCTCACTTCAGTGTTTTAAATAGCTTACCTAATTGCCAACTAAATGTAACTTTTTTCAGTTTCATCGAATTTTGAAAGTTGTTGGTTTATTTAGATCATGGGCTTCCTGTACGGAGTGTCTCCCCCAGACAACCCCCAAGTGAAGGAGATCAGGTGTGTTGTTGTGGTCCCTCAGTGGGGCACCCACCAACAGGTCCACGTACCCAATGCTCTCCCACAACACGAGTACCTCTCAGTTAGTTCATTCTCTCGATTTTAGGACACTGGATGTTATAAAGAATCGAATCGAAGTCTGAGTTTGAAAATTGAGGTGTGAGTGCCTGAAATAGCTCATTTGTAAAGAAACTTGAAATATTCAATTGGAAATTTCTTAGTACAAACGCAAACGCTTGTAACTTTCTAAGAGTTTGTAAGTCCTCATTGGACGGATTATTGAATGTAATCGAATCGGTTAGTTACGACTGGTTACAAGATTTAGTGAAGATTGGTAAGACAATTACATCCAATCGTTATTGGCGATGTGTTCAAGTATTGGATTTTGTTGGCGGCTCATTTGGTTTCGATTTCCGAAATCTAATTTAATGATTATGGGGGTTTTGTGCCTGTTAGGATATGGAGCCGTTAGGATGGATGCACAGTCAGCCGAATGAGTTGCCCCAGTTGAATCCACAGGATGTGACCATGCACGCCAAAGTGATGGGCGAGAACTCCTCCTGGGATGGCGAGAAGACCATCATCATCACTTGCAGGTCAGAAGACAACTGTTTCGATAGACATTTAAACAGTGTTTGTTTTAAAAGTGACATTGAAGAACCGAATGATTCTAAGCATTTAAAATTAAGGTTAAAATGGATGTCATAAAAAGTACCAAAAAGGGCTCTTTGGGTGGTCATGGGTCGAAGCCCTCTAATTTCCTCGACAGGCAAATAGAAATAAAAGTGTAAGTCCTGGAAGCTATAATGAGTAGTTTCTAATCGCCGTCTGTTTCAGTTTCACTCCTGGTTCCTGTTCGCTGGCAGCCTACAAACTCACCCCGGCCGGCTTCGAGTGGGGAAAGAGCAACAAGGACAGTGGAAATCAACCCAAGGGGTACCTGCCCTCCCACTACGAACGAGTGCAGATGCTGCTCTCAGACAGATTCCTCGGGTTCTTCATGGTTCCCGCCGTGGGCTCATGGAACTACAACTTCATGGGTAAGTGATGCTGAAATATGACATCATCTTAACGCTGCATTAGAAGTTTTTGGTCTTGTCTCATTAAAAAATTAATTGAACGTCGTATGTCGGACTGAAAGAAAATTTTTGTCAAATTCATAAATGAGAAACAAAACTCTTAACAGTGACAGTGAATATTTATCTTGACGTTTAATTAAATCTTGAATATTTATCTCATAAATTGTTGATATCGTACTAGTACTGAACGATGTTGAATATAGAAGGTGATATACAAACATGATGCAAATCGAAGCCTAACCATGGCACATATGGTCAATGACCGATCAAGGATTTTGTGAGGGTGAATCACAAGAAGTATTTTATAGGCCGACTAAATTGGTTTTCCGAGCTGTTTTCACACTCAAAAAGACCTAATTTGGTATAAACATTTTGCGTCGCAGGTTAATTTATTTGAAGTTTTGCACTGTGTATAATGCTAAGATGGGGTTTTTTTGTAGGTTTTGCAACAAAAAAGCTAAGATTAGGTTTTGCTAAAAAAGCTAATACAAATGCTAAGCTGAGGTTTTGTTTACGCAACAAAAAAGTAATCAGTTTCTTCCTAGGTGTGAGACACGACGCTAATATGAAGTACGATTTGATGCTGGCAAATCCGAAGGACTTCTACCACGAGGTACACAGGCCCAACCACTTCCTCAACTTCAGCAACCTAGAAGACGTCGCCCTCTACACTTCAGACAGGGAGGACGCATTCTCCTAGGAACCGACCGACAGGACACCAATTATCTGTCACGATTCACTCTCCATTCGAATACAAAGAATCACTCCCAATTGGCATATGAAATTTATGACATGTGAAACGTATGAAACATTTCAATTAGGTATCTGATATGAAATAAGAATCTACAACTAGATGATCTTAACTGTCCGCAACTAATTTGTTACTCCTGAAGATGCTGATAGGCTCAGAGTGAAAACGAGGAACCGTGAAAACTCGTATGAGGAACCGCAATATAACTCTTAAGAAACTAAATTAATGATGGTATGTTACTCTTTTTGTGTAGTTATGAATATTTGCTGTTCTGTTGTCTGTTTTAATTAAGCCATATGAAAATATTGGCTTTTTCTTTCAAGTTTTAAATGAACAAAATGGCTTCTTTGATTCAGTTACTTATTTTGTTTTTAGCTTAAAGTTTGTCCAGTATTTTTTTTTACCGTCGGGGTTTAATTTTAATAAAAAAACAGGCATCTTAAAAAATTCTAAAAATGAACGCTCGAAAGAATATTGAAAATCAGAATAATGGAAGGAAAAACTTTTCAACTAAAATGGCCAAAAAGGTTGAGTGCTATGTGACGTTTTGGATGAGTTGCGGTGCTTATTATCGTAATGTTTTCTCACCATGATAGTTTGGAACCTCGAAGGAAATAATTGATCAGTAACTGTTCGACCACTTACGGCCATGCTCGTAAATCCTGGAACCAAGGTGTCGGATAATTTGCTGGATTTAGATTCCTCTGTGAGATAGACAACTCAGTGCATAAACGGCATGGCTCATAATCTTCTTATGAACGGGCTCTTTGAGCATGCTGGCACAGTTCTAGCGTGTTGGTTGAGTAAATTTAATTTTGCAATTTCGCAGGCTTTTCTTAAGTTATTGGCAAAAAAGTTTTTCTGTTTCAACCACGGTTGGTTTGGTCTTTTTTATACAATGCTAGACAAGAAGCATAAGGTAGTATAAAAGAGTTTCAATAAAATTGACTTTCTAAGATGACATCATTTTAACGTAAAATCTATACCAATCATTTTCTATAAAAAGTGCCGATAACCAATTGTTTATGAAATTCAGAATGCTATAAAGCCACGTATTTTTTACGACGACAATACGTGATCGACTGACTAATCATTTCTAAAGTAAAATGCAATTTTCAGATTTCCCGGCTTTTCGCATCGATCGTTTTTTGCATCCAATCGGGCTTTCAAATTTGTCATAGTTGATCAGATTGTCCAATTTTGTTGGTTCAAGATTCGTTCAATCTCCTGTGTCATCCTGAATTCCCCTACTTCGACCTAGCGGCAATAGATACCTTCTCTGATAGCCATTGGCAAAAAAAAGGTCTGACCTTTTCCTGCTTGCTCATGTTTGGCTTGTAATTGTACTGCACCTAATTTGTCACTCAGTTTCTCCTGACCATACTGCGCTTCTTTATCCACTAAATCCATTTTTATGGGTCTTCGTAGTCTGGTACTGGAATATGCAACATTCTTATGTGTCCTATTGACATCATTAGTTAGTCATATGTTGAGGATGTTCCCATCGTGATCCCATCCGATATGATCTCATCGGTGATGTGCACGCCGCTTTTTGGTCTTATCTTGCCTCCGACTTGGAGTGAAGTCCATGTCTGATTTTGCAAATCCCAAAAGACAAGGGGAACCCACTGGATCAAATTCCATCGGTCATGATGAACAGTGGAACCTCTTGCGGCTCAGGAGACAAATTCTTTTTCCAGAGTGTCGCTTTGAGTTCTCATTTAGTTGAGATGGTCCTGGAACATTCCGATGTTGTCCTCTTTTGCATGAATTTTGCTCGCTGTCTCTCTCGCGCAAATGTTTTGAGCAGATTGATTTCAGTTAAAAAATCACGAAAAACTTTGAACAAAAGAGCTACGTAGTAGTCCACTGCACAGATGGTTTCTTCCGTTTGGAACTACTCGAATATCCAAATTGTTTTGTTATGATAAATGGGTCAAAAGCAGTCTTCTTTGTATTTTTTTTTTGGTTCTTCGCCAGTCAAAATTCTTCAGTTGTTTTTCGGCAGTAAAATGGTTTTTTTTCGGTTCTAAAAGGGAAAACTCAAATTATATAAAAGAAAGAAAAATATTTTGTTAGTTGTTAATAATTTTAAACACACCCTATTTTTCAGTTGAAAATTTAAATCAGTACTCTTGTTTGGCACATTCGCCACCGATTGAGGGTAAAAAAACGACTGGTCACAATGTACCTTCCACCAACCTAAGCTTATAACAACAGTACGCCGAACGTGACATAAAACTGTTCTAAGGATACCCAGCAGTCATTGTAGATGTTGTTCGTGTTCAATTCTGTTGTGTCTGGAGTACGTCTATCCGCTTGCCGCACCACCCTGCAACCACCGGCAAAACTATTACATACGTGCTTAAATATTCAAACAACACTCCAGTTAAGTACTTAACAAACAACAAAAAAATTAATCTAACAATCACAATGATGTATAGAAACCTGAAACAACAAAACTCAAGTTCGAAACACATATCCCGTAGAAAAAACTTAAACTGTAATTTTATACTTTTACTATTTTGGTCTTATTTGTTTTTCTTGCTGTGTTGTGTTCTTTTTAGTTTTAATATATTTGTTTTTTTAAGTTATACATCTTTTTGTTTAATTTACGCTTTCTCCTTACTAATTTATGGTTCCAGAGACTCGGGAGAAGCGGGTTCATGACTTCTCACTTAACACTCCGAAGCTTTATTTCTCTGTTTTTACTAAGTAAAAACAGCCAAACAGAAATAATGGCAGAGTCTGAGCCCTCCAGGTAGCCAGAAAAAGTCCCCTTTAGCCACTGGTTGGCCTCAGATATCTTCATTCTACGTGTTTTTGCTGTCTCGATCTATACAGTAGGTTTTTAATCTGTATAAAGATCAAAGAACGTATCACGACCTCTAGTCTAGCAACCGAACGCAATTTACTTAGCTTTCGAGCACATACAAATCATAAAAACATAGGTGGGTCTCGACAACATCATAACAAAGATAAAGATGGGGAAAAAACCTGTATTTCAGTTTCACTGACAGTTGCATATCGGATCCATCAAAGATGGATTGAGCTTTTCCTCGCCATCTACTGCTCATGCTCTGAAATAAACAGTTGGTTTGGAATTGGTTGTTTTCATTGTATTGCTCTAAAAAATTTTATAAAGCTACTGGACAGCGACCATCCAATCCCGCAATTCCCGGGGACAACGTCTTGATCCTCCTAGTTTCCCCGGTTCAGGAGAGGTCGAAATGATCCCTAATCTGCCACTGAATCTTCCGATCCCGTTCAAGTCATGAAATAACACTCGGATCACACGAGTTCATCACGTCCCGAAGCTTCTTTTTCGATCTCTTTGTTTCTATTGTTTTCTGCCTTGTATTCGACTGTTGCGTTCTGTGTAAATTGTTGGTGTTTCCGGCAAGTTTGTTATTTATGATAAATAATTAGTCCCGAATTAAATTTACTTGTTTTTGATCAGGTGAAGAAGTATCTTGGAAAAAAAATTCAGCTTAGTAGATACGGAAAAGTATATGCGCAGGTAAGTATGAGCGTCTGACTGCCTGTACATGGGGATCTCTAAATAATCTGGATAACAGAGATGCAAAAAAGAAGAAAAATAGCGAGTAAAGAAGTTCTACTGTTGCGAAGAATGCTAAAAACACAGCCCGTTGTTCTATGGATCCAGATCTGATCTTGTCATAATAAGGTCTGTCAAAAGTCCTGATCTGGAACGTTTCCAGTATTCAGATAAAAATTTACTGGTTTTTTAGGGGTTTTCCGGGATGTGCTTGTTTGCGTCCGGAAAAAGCTTTTAACTGATTCTCTTTTGTGCTTGTCTGAAAACAGCGGTGGAAAAAATATGAATTTGTTTTTTTTGCACTTGTGTTTCACAAGAGGCCGAATTCAAAGAGATTTTTTGCTGTGGATATGAAAAAAAAGCAGTGTGAAGTTTTTGTTAACTTTGGTTGCTTGCTTATGTTGAGAAAGAAAAATGTCGAAATGTAAATTTGCCACTTAACCTATGCATTTCTCTGAAATTGGCCTGCGTAATTTTTGATATCGGATAGCAAAAAACTGAACCAAAAAAACTAATGAGTGCTAACAACACTAGAAGATTCACTACTGAGCTGAAGTTTTTTAAGAAAAAGTACTTAGGCTTCTGTTATTTAACTTGTTAACGCTAACAAAAAATCAAAACGGAACTTCCATTGTAACAATGAACTGAAACAAACGAAGTCGTCAGTCTGGACCTGAAAACTTTTGAAAAATTTCTCTTTGCTCTAGGTCTGCTTTCGAGGCCCATCGGGGACATTTTTGTCAACAAGAAACGCCCAGCCACTGTTTCTGAAGCTCTTTCGTGTTGTTGGATCTCTTAGACTGGTCCAGAACCTATGATAACCTTCTACGCAAATGGGGGCCGAATGCCTGACTCTATTGCAGAGTATCTGTAAAAAGAGCAGACCTCTACCAAAGCAAGCCGTTATAAAGCCGTTGTGTGCAATGAGCGTAATCATGACGTGGTCGAGAAATCGCTATTTAAAAGATTAAGGTCGAATCCGGTTTTGGAACTAGAAGTCTTATTATCTTGATGTATCAACGAAAAAAAATCTCCAAAACCTGAACGGATTCTCGCCTGCCCATTATCTTTTGGGTGGAACTATAAGATTACATCATTCTTCTCAGCTGGGCTCTCCATGCAATCGTCGAGGTCAAAGAAGCAAACAAGATGCCAGACACGACTGGATAATAATTGTGTGATCAACAAAAATTACGCCTGGAAAAGATATAACCAAAAACAGACTGACATTACGACGTGATTATGAAAAGTCTTTCTTGTGTGTGAAGGACTCCATGATTGCGCGGAAGTTTTTGATCTGAATGGCATAGGACACCAAGTTAGGACACATTTCGGCATGCGCACTGGACTTACAGACGCGGGCGAAAAACCTATGCCAGACCAAAATAATTTTGTTGATGGAAGCATTTTCGTACTTTGTAAATTAACGAACCACGCTCGGCTGTTGTGTTATCATAGCTATCAATTATTCGCAAAAGAAAAATAACCAGTTCAGTAGCGGGATATTGCTATTTATTCGTGTCGCTGCCAGATGATATTATCTATATGAAGTCCATTCTTAATTATTTAGTTGGCCTGATGTTATATGGTTTTTTACAGACTATCGAAACTTTTACCAAGCTGTAATAAGCACTAAACTAGTCAATGATTTGTGAGTAAGTACTGACGCACAAATCATCAGGGACGTGCTGAGCTCTGGTGACTCTACTGATTACTGAGCTCTGCCCTTGTCGGATTGAGAGAG